AACAGTAAGGCAAGGTCACTGCACGTTCACTTCAGAATTCACTTCAGATCTCACTTCAGAGCGGCTGCGCGAATGACATTCACGTACAGGGACATTTAACTGGCCGAGGACTGGAGGACCAGCTGCTATCAGCGACATAAGAACTGGAACTAAGCCACAACTCTATTTTCCTGTAATCACAATATGCTAATTCATCTACAGGTGTCCCGCATCGTAAAAAACAAAAACCCAGAAACATCACAGAGCGAGCTGAAGCAGAACCTCCCGTGACATTAAACTCTCTGCGGCTGTTGGCGCCTGGCCCTGGGTCCGAGGCCGTGCCTCAGGGCGGGGCTATAACTCAGCTCTGTCAGGCTGAGTGTCTCGGGGAATACAGTTGAAGGGCAGCCCATCATTTTTCCTTCTTTTTTAAAAAATATTTTTTTATCGATTTCAGAGAGGAAGGGAGAGGGAGAGAGAGAAATGATGAGAGAGAATCATGGACCGGCTGCCTCCTGCACGCCCCCAACTGGGGATAGAGCCCGCAACCTCGGCCTGTGCCCTGACCTGGAATTGAACCTTGACCTCTTGGTTCACAGGTTTGATGCTCAGCCAATGAGCCACGCAGGCCGAGCTAATTATTCCTTCTTCTTTGCTAGGCCCACACTCCCCGTTAGACACAACATGCTAGTAACTGTGAGATGTTAAATGGGGACAGCATTTAAGGTGACACTTTGTCAGATGGAAGTGCCACTTCCTCACCTCGCACCGCCCCCTACAATACCCCTGCTGCCTCCACTGCACACGCACGCCCCTGCATTCCCTGGGGTGTGGCTCGCCCCCTACAATACCCCTGCCGCCCCGACTGCACACGCACGCCCCTGCATTCCTCGGGGTGCACTTGCGGGGCCCCTACCGTCGCAGCTGGGCAGCGCATGGTTCCACTGGTGGTTCCTCTCACAGACGAGCGGCTCGTCGTCGCTGAGCGTGTACCCGGGGTCGCAGCCGAAGGTCACGGTCGACCCGATGCCGAAGTTGCTGCCGTGCCGACGGCCGTTCACGGGGATGCCGGGGTCCAGGCAGGCATCCGACTGGAGCGTCACACCTATAGGGACACGCCCGGCAAGAACACGTCAGGAGGGAGGGCCTCTGGCTTATGGAGGAGAAAGCGGTGCCTGTGCCTGGAACCTGGGAAGGAGCCCGGAGAGGTCGGCCCTGGGGATGCGCGTGTGGACTCCGCGTCTACACTGCACACGGGAGAGTCCCGGGCACCGGCCCTGCCGTTCTGTGGAGACCCCGCCGGTGCGAACCGAACAGCCGCTCCGCCCTGGACTGCACTTCACTTTCCCTGGACGCCCAGTCTGTGCTCAGTCCCCGTCCCCCTCCCCCTCCCCGCTCTCGGCACCGTATGTCCCGCTGGGTTGGGCCGTGGCGCTCAGCTTTCCCGTAGGGGCGCCCACGCCAGGCCCACACGTATGGTGCACAGTGAGGCTGCCCGGGCCGATCCTGAGGCTGCGTTCCATACACCCACACGTTGGCTGCAAATGGGCACTAAGCCGGCCACTCTCCAGGGGCGACATCAGCCTGTGCTCACAGGTGTGAAAGGGAAGTGCTGTCTCAAGTCACATGATCAGGCTCATGTCATCGTACCCTCTCTCCTCTGTCTCTCACATGGCTCTTTGCTCTTAGAATAGCACATATTTTGAAAATAAGGAAAACGGGAAGAAGGAAAGAGAATATCATTGCAATGCTTATAAGTGAAAATAAAGGAAAAAGACATTATTGCTATACAAGTATAAGCTTATAATAAAGTTCAGAAAGTTACGATTATGACATGAAGTATTCTCCAGAAATCCTAAGTTATTACCAGTATTCCTACTGCTCACTCCCCCATGATGACCTTTGGGATAACAGTCTAAGCGCTGCATATACTGAGCTCAAGTCCGGGGTGGCTGTCCCTCCCTCTAGGACGTCCAGGACATGAAACTCAGCTAAGGAGCGATATTTCAGATTAAGCAGTGGGCCGGCATTTCTTCATTAGCACAGCGACATGTGCCTCAATCGGCAAGGAGACACGAGCAGGCATCCGGGCCACGATTCAGAAATGCATGGTAAGGGTGTGGCTCCATCCACAGGGAGCCAGCCTCCGGGAGGTCATCCGGACTCTGGGGATCTCCTGAGTGGAGGGAGTCATTTATCCAAGGTGCCCTGAGGCCACCCCTGCGGGTCTATATTCCCAGGAGCAGCAGGTGCTGAGGCCACACCTGAGGGTCTATATTCCCAGGAGCAGCAGGTGCTGAGGCCACACCTGAGGGTCTATATTCCCAGGAGCAGCAGGTGCCCTGAGGCCCCCCCTGAGGGTCGATATTCACAGGAGCAGCAGGTGCCCTGAGGCCCCCCCTGAGGGTCGATATTCACAGGAGCAGCAGGTGCCCTGAGGCCCCCCCTGAGGGTCTATATTCCCAGGAGCAGCAGGTGCCCTGAGGCCACCCCTGAGGGTCTATATTCCCAGGAGCGGCAGGTGCTGAGGCCACCCCTGGTAGTCACGTTTCCAGCAAACACTATTGTTCAGGATGAGCCATCTCCGGGATGTGCGCTGTTAACAGGTGACTTTCCGACAGCACAGGTCTGTGACTACGTTATGTAGTGAGAGCACATTTCTTTGTTTTAATTACTGTGTTGTTTTACTTTAAGATAAACGGAAATGCCTCTTCAAGCAAAGTTCCCCAAGCTGCTCTCTGGGTAGAAGAGAGAGTTCGGAGATCAGGCGGCGGTGTCACCTGTATGCTGTGTCCCAGCCCAGGTGTCCTGAGCCCCCGGGCACCTTGCTGGAGCAGGGGGATGGGGACGGGGACGGGGATGGGGACGGGGACGGGGACAGG